CCCCCGTTCCTCGTCCCTTCCCGCCCCCCCCTCCCCCTCCATCTTTTCTTTCTTGATAACTCCTCCCTGTCGCACCCGGAAACGACCAGGTAGGGTGGTCGGGTGCTTCGCCCGAAACTCCCATGTCATGCATTATCCTAGAGCTTAAGGAATTCGCAGCCGTTACACGGATGTGGGGTCGTTTTCACAATTGAGCTCTCTCCTTCGCGCCGCGCGCATTCGTCTTCAACACATGTCGCAGTTACAAGGATGGAACACACGTCGTTTGAAACATGGGGCTCTCGCCGCAGCGCCGCGCACACTCGTCTCGATCCCTGTTCAAAGTTGAGCTCTCGCCGTAACAGCTCGAGCATTCGGCGCAAAAGCGTACAACAGTTTCAGTGGCACATGGCGGCTCCGCTTCAACATGGAACGCTCGCCATTGCGCCGCGCACGCTCATCTCGAACACTTGCAGATTACAGGGGTCGATAGCGTTCCTTTTGAAACTTGGGTTATGGCGTTGGCGCCGCGCACATTCGTCTTACAAGCTTGCAAGAAGTTCTAGGATGCTGAGCGGTTGCTTTTCAAAATGGTGCTGCCGCCTTCGCGCCGCGCGCACTCTTTTTGCGTGTTCGTGGAGGTCGCTGTTTTCAAACTGGAGCTCTCGATTCAGATTCCAGAGACTTCCACATATGTAGCAGATGCACGGATTGATGACGACTACTTTTCAAACTAATGATCTCACTTGCGACTCCCCCGGGATGCATGGCCAGCTTTGTAACCGTGTGCTACAGTTACACGCGTGGGAATCATCCTGTTCAAAACTGGGGTGTCGCTGGGCACCCCGCTGAACTGTATGATCATACCTTGTTCGCATTCCTGCTAACGCGCTAGAAGGGTGCAGGGCAGCTACGTTTCAAAACGAGGATCTCATCTGAATTGCAGGTCCATCGGGTGCTTGTCGCTGGGAAAGGCCATCTTTGCTGCGAAACATCAAGCTTGCAGGGACTTGTGGGGACAAACATTAGGACAGGATGGTGCTGTGCAACATCGTTGGTGCATATTGGGTTCACTATGGTCTTTCTTCTCTTCTGCTCTCCCACTCATCCGCCTCCTCCCTCTTCCTCTCCCTTCTCTCCTCCCTTCCCTCTCCCTGCCCTCTTGCATTACTCGCTTTATAATACGATCACAGCCCTTGCACAACTTATCAATCATATCCTCCTGTTCCGCCTCTTCATCCTCCTCCTCCCTCTTCCTGGCCCTCTCCTCCTCCTCGTCTTTCTCCAGCGCAGCATTGCCAATCTTCCAATACGTTCTTCGTGCGGAGGGCAGCAACGCGTGATTGAGAAGTTGTCTGAAGCGCCCGCTCGCGCAATGCTGCTCTGCAACCATTCAAGCGGGCGATCGACCCACAACCCTATACACCTACCTAGGTTGAGAGTTTTCGTCGTGAACCAACTCGGCTCATGCCTTGAGTGAAAGAGAATCCCGCGCTCCACATCATACCAATAGACTTACTTGCACCTTGCTATCTGCTTCTCTCCTATGCCACTCATTTTTTGGTTTGTTTCTCTCTATCTCTCTATCTCCTCGTCCTCTACGCCCTCACCCTCGCCGTCGGGCCTCTTTAAATTCACGGTGTAAGCAAATCCTTGGATATCTTTGTCGGGTCGGATTGTGCTTCTGCCTTCGCCAGGAGGTCGTCTTCGTTGACAACGGCCGTTCATTTTGCTGCGGCCGAGACATATACACGCATTGTGGTTTCTTGGTCGCTGTGTAGTGACTCGTATTGTTGCGCTGATAGAACGACCTTGGCTATGCCAGCAGTAGAGTTGAGCTCGGCATACTGGCCGTGGTCGTCCGAGTCGAGATCGTAAGTCTCGTCGTATTCAATGGTCCAAGGTACCAGAAAGATTGTCGGTGTCGCGATTCCGAGCAGAACCAATTTGTCGCAGGTGCCCTTGCACGTCCCTGGCCATAGCCACGCGCGCGCGGTTGTCAGTAACCATTTCGGTATGTACCGAACACAGGGACTCCCATGAGGGGGTCTCAAGTACTTCCGCTTCCTCTTGGAGCTCTACATACCACGTGTCCATAATCTGTGCTTCCAGGTGCGTTTCATATTCTTCAGCAATAGTTGGTAGTTTACCGTCAAGGGCGGCCGGTGCTGGAGGTCCGTGCATTTTTAGAGATCCTCATCGAAGCCTGCATCAGATGACTTAGAGCGCTGAATGATTCGTGCGTGCGCGGTGCCAGTGATGTCCATCGATATTGTCCTGCCGCCGCACGACACGCGCCCCTCGGCGGGGGTAGCGAACCGCCAGATGTAAGTCCCTCCGCGACGACTTCGCAACAGCAGACGGCCCAAGAGCTCGGATATCCCACTTCCCGAGGTGATGTTGCCGGGCCGTGGCTCCCCAAGGCATTACCAGGACGCTGGAAGCACACGTGGCTGGAAACACATGCGGAACACGTGGTGGCCACGCGCTGGGTCCACATCGCACCGGGGCCGAGCGCTGGAAGTACAAGTGACCACGTGCACCCTGCTCTTGTTTAGGCCGGCCGCGTCATGTGAATCCAGGTTTCTGGTAGGCCCTCCTCATCCGCCTCTTCTGTTCCTGCTCGTCTTAATCCTCCTTTCCCCCCGCACCCCTTGACGAGCTGGATCCTCTGCCACGCCTTACCACCTTTCCCGCGCCGCTGCGTGACCCCTCGCCTTTGTTCGTCCTCACCTCCACATCCACGCCCCCTCCCCGACGGACAGCGGCAAAGCATGCGGCGGATGGCGGGCGGAAGCCGCCCGCGCAGAGAATAAGAGTCCCAGCGTGTCCATGCCAAGAGGAGAGGCCCACCTGGAAAACGTAGAGGCGGGGGGACAACCTCCAGCTGTGCGGCGGACGGTGCGGCACAGACAGACGGGGGGGTGCAAAGGGGGGCCCGAGGAGAGGCGGAGGAGTGTCGGGTGGGAGGCGGAAGAATGTCGGGTAGGGCGGAAGTCCGGCAGGGTGCCAGCAAGGTAGACGGGCGGGTCAGAGGACAACCAGCAGGAGACCCATGAGTTCGCAACGGCCAAGTGAATGACTGGAAGAAGGCGCGCCGCCCAAGGCGACGCGCTTGGGGAAACAGCGCTCTGGAAGTATGATTTGCAACATACCTGACATAACGAAACTGTTCCTCGGGTGGGAGCCGCCACGTTGGGTGTAGGGCGTGCCGTCGGCGTGCCTGGCGGACCCGGGGTGGAAGGAACAGGAGTCGCCGCTGGTTAGTGGCGCGCACGGGGAGGCAGGGAGAGGGGGGAAGGCTTCTCGGAAGCAGGAATGTTTCTAAGAAGCCTTCCTCCTCTCCCTACCCACTCTGCGCGTGTCCGAAGTCCCGTCGGTGCTCCCCGCGAACACACAGCCCAGGCCGCCCCGAGGACGCGCGTTGTGTGCTTTCGCTCTTGCCCCGCCCCTCCCCCCTGGATAAGGGCACATTTTCTGTCCAGGGTCCAGGCAGCGATGTTCTGGCGGATGGCTCAAGGGCACTTTTCTTCTCCCCCCATATTAGGTCACCCCCCATTGCAACAGGTGCGCGAACCGCCATTGCCTTCGCTCCCCAGTGGGTGGCCGAGGAACGCAACCACCCAGGCAACACCCGGTGCAACGCGAAGCAAGGGACCCTTCACGGGCGGCACCGATACCGACCGTTCGAGCTGCGTCCATCCAAAGAAACGAAGGCCGAGAGAACGCAACCACCTAGGCAAAAGTTGGTGCATTGCGAAGCAAGAAACCCTTCACGGGCGGCACCCAGACCGACCGTTCGAGCTGTGTCCAACCGAAGAAACGAGGGCGAAACATGTTTGAACGAGGTGTGGGGTCAGGAACCTCCTGCTACCTCCTTGTCGTTGTCGCAGTTATCCTCTTCTTCCGCCTTCTCCTTGTGGCAAAGTTTCCCAGGCGTTATTGATGATGATCGCAGTGGTTCCTGTGCGTAATGAGGCAAGGTCCAGTGAGCGGTTGCGAAGATTCTGCCAGACGGCAACATCATACATCTTGAGCCAAACGGAGGAGTGCTCAGTGACATGGGGATAAGTAGCCAGCGCCCTCCTCGACCTGAGTTACACACTTCGGAAGCGCCACGATCAAAAAACACTGAAAGCTCAAACGTCCGACAAACGCTATTAGTCACAGAGCTGGAGAAGGGCCTGCGTAGGTCAAAACGTGGCGATGCTTATGACAGGATGTCCTTGCTACATATGTTAACTTGCTACACCAACGCGAAACTCTCGGGCGCGAGTGGTTACAAACGGAGAAAAGGGGGAGGACATGTCAAACACTCACCTGCCTGCTGGCTTGACCTCGACCTGGCGCGTTGCTGTTTCCCCTTGCCAGTTCCCTTCGCTAACTTCTGGCGCCCCCTTTCATGGCCAATCGGTCACGCGCCATGAGCAACGTACCATCGTTTAGGGTGCTTTCTAGATAGTCCTACTCAGCGTATGCGCCCACCTTCTCCAGATCGGTCACCAGCGTCAAGCGCTTGACGGTCTTATCTGTGATGGCGTGGTACCGTCAGGGCGACGAAGATTGGGCGGGGCGCAGCGGTCCCTGCGACGGCGGCAGCGCCCCAAATAATCTTCACTGTAGTGGGTTGTACAACCGAAGTACGCTCGCTAAGCCAGAACGGGCGATCAAGACCTGGGAGGTGCGCATGCCAGCAGACTTCCCCGTTACATTTCATGCTGCGGTCCCTCACGTTTGGACGCAGCCACGCGCCGCCGCATCGGGCACAACAAATATTGAGCTTAGTGGGGTTACGCTTCTTTGCTTCGCTGTTCGCCTGGTACCACGCTATCTTGGGTGATGGAACGTCCTGGTGGTCGGCGCAATGAGGTAACCTTTCTCTCGTGTCGAAGTTGGCATGGTATCTACCCACTCAGTTGAGGATCGTTGTGAACTCGGCGGCGAGTTCCTTCGCCTCCTCCTCCTCCTCCTCCTCCTCCTCCTCCTCCTCCTCCTCCTCCTCCTCCTCCCCCCCCCGCGGCCAGCAGAAGGTGTGCGAGCACTCGATGGTCGCAGCCTGAACCTGAGAGCGCTTTTCGTCCACACGCAAGAGCGGCCCGAGACTTCGGGAACGTTCGTTGGCTCCATGACGCTTTAGCGCCTCGGGATGCTCTCCAGCAGATGCGCCTTGCCGCGAGCGTTCCGGAAGTGCCCGAATTCCCCGGAACGGCTGCCAGAGGTCGAGGTCGTGGTCCGACGGCCTCGTGACCTCTGGTGCGCGGCTTGCCAATCGCTGCATGCGATACGACCGCAGCGGCGTGCGTGTTCGGGTTTGCCCCCACGCCCCCCCCACCCCGCTGCCCCGAACGCCGCGCACCAAAGGTAACTCTGGCGAAGGGCCATTCTTATTTGTAGCCGCGAGTCTCATACCCCTCGTTCTTCCCAGACCTTCGACGACTCGAGAAACTCGCACAACTGTGTTTTGTTCTAACGTGTTCGACGTCTGGATATCGTTTCTGGGCCCCAAGACAGTCAAACAACCACTCAGGATGAAAGGTCGGTCCTGCGAAGGATCTGGGAGCTTTGAGGGGTCAGCGACTTGAAAAATCGAGGTGTCGAAGGACTGGGTCTTTCTCTGTATCACCATCCCGTCCCCCTTCCCTTCGTTCTCCCTGCTCCCTTCCCATTCCGTCTTTCTCTTATCCCTCCTCCCTCGCGTCTCTCGGCAACCGTTTTGTGCGAATGGTCCTGGCAGTCATGAAACCTTTCGTAGGTGGGGCGAAAGAATAACGACAGGTGCACCTCACACAATTCACATAATGATCTGGCCCACTGGCCCCCCTGTGTGCTGCCCTGGACATCCACCATTGTCGCCCAGGCCAGGACGCCTTCCCTCATGATCCCCTGGACTCCGACAGCGCCCGATCAGATTTTCATGCCATTTTACAAAAATTGGGATCCGCATGTTGCTCATGATGTTGAATACTAGGCTCCAGAATTTGTTGACCAGGTTGTCCATAGTGGAATCCAATACAATTTTCCTCCACCTCAGCCCCGCGAGGTCTCCCACAATGCCGTCGCACCTCCGTGCTCCAGCACCGGCGATATTTTGTCGTATCCGCAATTTTTGGCAATCCGCCCAAGGCCGCTGCGCTCTGTGGACAAAAATACCTCCCCGGCTGCAGGTGCCTGCAGATATCGATGTCTACCACTCCTCGAGGTCCCAGGGGACGACTCCGCCGTGGTGGATACGGAGGATCCAGGGTCTGCTCCCTCGCCCCCCCCGTCATGCTGATGCCCTCGGGCCCCACCCCCGCGCGATGGGCCCCCCCGTCCTGTGGGTGTGGGGTGGTGGGTGGTGGGTGGTGGTGGGTGGTGGTGGTGGCGGATTTTGTGGTCGGGCCCTCTTAAGGAGGAGGAGGAGGAGGAGGAGGAGGAGGAAGAGGAGGAGAAGGAGGACATCAGACGAAGAGGAGGCGCAGGAGGGAGAGATGAGGGGAACGGAGGGAAGAGGAGGAGCAACATCGTTGTCGACGGTGTCTTCCCCATCGTCGCCTCCCTCTGGATGTGGCGTGTTGTTGCGGTGCATTCAGGGAGCCGGAGCGGACGGTGTCGTCGTCGTCGTCGTCGTCGTCGTCGTCGTTTTCGTCGTCGTCGTCGTGGTAGTCGTTTCCCCCCCTCCCATCTGGGGAGGGGGTGGGGGGGGGCCCGAGGGACCCTGAGACCCATCCCATCTGGGAGTGGGGGGGTGTGGGGCGTGTGCCCAGAGCCCAGGATCATGGATATGGCCCGCTCTTACGACCCTGAGGAAATGCAGCCCTCTCTTGTGGGAGCAGCGTGTGATGCGTCCGCTAGCCTCCACCGGCGGAAAGGCCCTCCTTCTACTTCCGCTGGCTTCCGCGGACGAACCGCCGTGGGCGGGGCGTCAACGCCATCCATCCCTGGACTACGAGGCCATCCCTGGAGCGCCCCAGGCATTCTGGCGGTGCGTTCCCCTGCGCCTCGCTCCGTCGCCCAACGCCCCCGCATCGGCTCCGACAAGCTCCGTGCCCGCCGCCGCCGCCCCCCGCCCGTAGGCAGTGTGCGGGGCGCGGTGTCGCGAGCCTGCTCTGCAGACGTGCCTGGGCCTTGCGTTCGAGTTCGGCCCTGAGGCACGCCGTGTGCGGCAGAGCCTTCTGCGGATCGACGTGGAACCACCTCACCCCTCGCCTTTCGTTCCGCATGTCTCGCCCCTCCTCGCTCCCTCGCTGCCTTCCTCCTGCCTCCCCCCCCTTCTCGCCCTCCCCCTGCTCATACTCCTTATCACCCTCCGTATGCCTCCCTTCCTGCTGCCCCCCTTTTCTCCGCATTCCGCGCTCCTCCTTGTTCATCCTTTTCCTCCTCCTTCTCCTCCTCCTTCTATTCCATATTCTTCATCCTCCTTCAGCGCTCCTCTCTCTCGCCTCCCCCGTCGTTTCTGTCCCCCTTGCTCCTGCTGCTGCTGCTGCTCCTCCCCCTCCTCAGTTCATCCTCATACGATGTCCCAGAGCTGCGTCGGTGCGGCTGGTTAGCCGTCATGCTGAATGCCTGTGCGCGCAGTGTACGGCGGGCTCGCAGGCTTGCAACAGACTGTAGGGGCAGCAGAGAGAGTGGCTGGACTGAAGGCGTTGTCAGCGATTAACTCGGGCTTGTGAATGAATGAGTGCAGTGTTGAGAGGGTGCGATCGAAAAAGTTACCTGTGCCAGTGCTGCGTACCCTGGCGTTTGGAGACAGCTCGTGAGCTTGACGCGAGAGCCTCCGAGTTTCGCTCGGGTCTTCCCTGCTCCTGTGGACCCTCCCTGTGGTTTGTGGGAAACACGTGGACAGATTTTTTCGCCAAGTTAGGGGCCCTGTCTGTCAAGGTGCCTGAAGGGTACGCGAGATTATACAAGGATTGTCTCTGGGGACCCGCCCAGTGCGCCAAGTATTTCGGATGGGCGGTCCAGAGGAGTTGCCAGCTCGAGCTGTGGTCCGAGAGAGCCGTGCTCACTGCTGCCCCGAGTCGGCCTTCTGTCCCTGCGGAGACGAAAATGACTCGGTTGCTGCATGACCACGATCTCGTGGAGATCGGCGATAGGTTGTTTTGCAGGATGTGTAGGCGATCGGCCAAAACTCCTGAGGCACGGCGTCAGCTTGCAGGTGGCACCGGCCGACGTTGCCGCCCTTCCGCCATCCACGCCTCGCAAGCGAAAATCCTGGAGGCTGCCGCCACCAGCCGCCTGGCTGGGGGGTCTGCGGGTCGGGGCGGGCTAGGGTGTTCTGGGGGGGCCTATTCTCGGGCGGGGGTGGGGGGTCCGTCTGGGCCCGTGGCCTCATCTGGGCTGGGTCTTCTTGGGAGGAGCCTGTGCCTGCCCGCGAGTGCGAGGCTGGGGCCCCTGTGGGGCGGGGGGCCTCGGGCTCTGCGGAGCCCGAGGCGGGGCCGCTGAGGCTCACCGTCTGGGGGACACGACGTTACCGCCACGGGTACGGTCGTCTGGTGTCGGCGGTGCGGGGCCAACGGGTCCGTCAGGGTGGGGAAGGCGTTTGGGGCCCCCTGCCCTGACCCCAAAGACTTGCCCCCCAGCAGGCAGCGGGCCCTTAACTGCTTGTTGGGGGGCACGCATCCCAAGTCTAGTAAGCCTCTGGAGGGGGATGAAGGACTGGGATAATGGTTGTCTCTTCCTAGAGCTGTGTCCGTGAGCAAACGCTGCCTCTTGAGCTCGTGTCCTCGTGTCCTCAGTTCATCCTCATCACCCTCAGTGTCAACGTCAACATCCTCAACACCGTCAATTCTCCTCCTGATCCTGCTCCTCATCCTCACTGGGGTCGATGCCTCAAACATGATACGGGCGATCTGGCAGCCCCGCCGGAAGCCGCCGAACTGTCGCCGCGAGAGCCCCGCGACGGCGGTCGCGCCTCGCGCCGACAAGCGGCTCAGGGCCAGTGTTAGGTCGGGCATGTCCTCCTACAGGCAGATTCTGGACAACAAATGCAAAATAGTCAAAACATATTCAAACATGGTGAGAAATGGTGGAAAAACGTCCCCATACTATTTTTTGATTACTCTTGAACATTCCTCCTGTAGAGGGACATGCCCGACTGAAGGCCAATGCTCCGCTCGGCCCGGCGCGGGCCCTGCCCGAAGCCCGAGCTTGCACGACAGGCGCCGCCGGGTCGGCGCACCCGGCGGGCGCGGAGCCGGGCCCGTCGGCCACCGCGTGCATCGAGGGTAAGACGGGCGCCGCCAGGTCGGCACGCCCAGCGAGCGTGGAGCTGGGCTCCAACTCTAGCGCGAGCTCCAACTCCGCGCGCGCAAGGCAAGGCGGCCGCGAGCTCCAACTCCAGGCGTCCTCCGTGCTCCCTGCCCCGGGACTCCGCGCCTTCTCCTCGAGCTCTCGCCATTGCTTCTGTCCCCAGGCATCCGCCGATCTGATTTTTTCCATCCGCGGCCCCAGCGGTCGAGACCCCTTCCCTGGGGATGGACTTTCGTCCCAAATCTATGTCCGATGGCTTCTGGGCCCGATAACAAGCCCTGGAGGCTGGCTGAAATCCAGGAAAAACAACCGGATTTAAAAGATCATATCCTCGGATCTCTGGATCCTCCCCCACCCCCTGCACACCTCCCCTCCCTAGGCCTCCCTCCTGGGCCCCGTTTCCTCCCTGCTCGCTCTGCCCTCCTCTTCCCCCCTCTACCTCCTTGACTCCTCCAATCTCCCTCTTCCCTCGCCCTCTGCCTCCCTCCCCCGTCCCCTCCTGCTCCTCATGTTCCCCCTCTGGCTTTCGATCATACACCCGCCCCTTCTTCCCTACACATCCCTGTCCCCCTCTGCATCCTCCTCGCGGTTGCCGCCGCCCGCTGCCGCCGGGCCCACTGAGGCTGCCACCATGAAGTCCTGGTGTGCGGAACAGGCGGAGGATCAGGAAGGGAAGGCACGAGGAGGATGAAGAGAAGGAGGAGGATGTAGGGCAGAACATCAGCATCGCTACCAAACAAATGACTTCATGCTGAAACGTTCTTGTTCGAATCAAAGGATCTTGGTGCTGGTGTCGGATTCCGAAGTGGCTCCCTCGTCTGTCCCTTCCGCTACACGCTC